CCTCTGAATGATGGACATAAGTTTAGTTTGCAAGTCAAAACAAACCTAAATACCTTCCTTACTACTCTCATCATAAATTTAACCCCAGCATACTCTTCAAGTAAACATTTTTTTTTTTAAATAACTTATAATTACACTATTGACATTATTTGGACTATTGTCCTTACCTTTATTGCCATATTTATTACATTTCAGCTGTTGTACAATCCAGCCTTCTTCAGGTGGTTGGAATGTCGAACTGAACCCTTTATTTTTCTCACTGGGGTAACATGTGCCATGTTTAATGGATGTCAGTTATCAGTTATCTCCTGTTAATTCCCCTCTCCAAGTTCTCCACTGCCTTAACCGGGTTTTGAACTCACACTCTTTGTCACTGGATGTAACTAATGCTTTTATTCACTGTGCCATGTGTCCTTGAGGACATCTGTGTATGAATTTGTGGGTATTATAAACCTAATGTCTTCAGCCACTGTTTTTTACCAGTACTCATATTGCAATTTTTACTGTTATCACAACATGTTTTTACAAGAGTTCATATTGCAATTTTTGTTGTTGTTATTGCTTTTCTCTGGCACTCCTTATTACTGGTTCCCATATTGTATTCATTTCTATGCTTGGTCGGCTCAGGAGATTTTTGTGGCCTAGCATATATGCTGATTCCTTAAGTTTACAAATTTTCCAATGGTGTTCTTTGTCTATGATCTCAACCTGATCCCACAGAGGGTGGTGATCTCCCTTTTCTCTCCATATGTGGTCAGCCATGCCTGATTTTTACATTTCCCCTCGTGTTACAGCTTTCTGGTGTTTTTGAAGCCTTATCTTAAAGGGGCAGCCTGTCTCCCTTTATAGATATCTCTCTCAAGTAAGAACCCCAAAAGAGCAGAACATGATGAAAGACTATGTGTAAACTATCCCATGCAGCTGCAGAAAGAAATATAAGACAATGTTACAAGATCTTAAGAGATATAACTTAATTACCTTTCTCATAGAATTAGCTTGATAATTGAAGAATAAATTCCTTTTTATTATTAATATTGTTCTCACACTTTAATGTTTCTCTTTTTTTCTTCTTCTTTCACACTCAGTAGCCTCTTGCATCTTAGGGGCTTTACTACCTTGCATGGAGTAAAAAATGATTAAATAAAAGTATAACATGTAAAAGAATAATATTTCATCCAAAGATTATAAGAATAAATTGTGTCTCTTTAATTTTTTCCAGTCTAATAGTTTTTTTCAATCTATGTTGTTTTTTTTTTATATATATATATATATATATATATATATATATATATATATATATATATATATATTATTTAGACTTTCATCTTGCTGATATTAAAATGGTTTATTGGTTGCCAAAAGTAGTTGTTAGCTTTTTTCTCTTAAGTTCAAACAAATTCTACAGCTCGGAAATCTGTTATCAAAAGAGCCACTCAGGGATTGATTGTAGATATCATTTTTTAATTTTATTTTCCATAATTTCCAAAGAGAAACAATGTTGGTTTCATATGAAGGAGAAGGGATATTGCCTCTTCTTTCTTTGTAGTACACATGTTAGAAAGCTCACAGAGATTCACTTATAGAATCTAAGAGGAAGTATTTTTTTATACTAAGGTTCATAATTGATACAGATCCATGTTTGACATAATTCTTTCCAGAATTATTGTTTGTTGCAGTAGTAGTAGCAATAGTGTTTGACTTGAAATATAATTTTGGATTTTGAATCATTTGCCAAAGTGAATAATTAGTACAGTGTAACATAAATTTTGATTAGTTGAAATTTAATAATGGAATCATGATTAACAAGAGCTTACAATCAATATTATTTGTTTTGCTTTAGTCTTCATTATCTTTTGTTTACTTTTTAAGTACCGAGACTCAATCAGTGGTTATTGCAACAAGAAAATTTCTATTGTGTTTTACTATCAATTTTTTTACTGACTAGTTTATTAAAGTGATTTTATGATAGGATTGTGAGTAAAAGTTAATAACTCAGAAAATCTTTTCCAACTTTAAATAAAAAATATAATAATTGTGTCAGTATTCTCATTCCAGTGTCTTATTGTACAATAGACAGCTAATTTATAAATTTCATATGATTTGTATTAATTTATTGTAACTTACTCTAAATATTTTTTAATTAGAACTTGCAATGAATTAATAAGTGAACTACTATCTACATATAAAAATAATGAATTGTCAATTATTTAAGTGTGGTATACCTTCTCAGACAAAGAATTTAAACAAAAATGCTTAGTTTAATTGCATGCATTACAACTTCATTCTGAAAACACAAACAAATGAACTGATAAACCTTTAATGTAAGATTATTGCAGATGAAGAGGTGTCATAAATATTTCATATTATCCTCATCTTTCTATTTTTGTTGCCATTAACTTTTGATTAGAGTACTAAAAAATTTAATAATTATCCTCTTCCAGTGTCTTTATCTTGTGAAATACTTAATGTTTCAATAGTATCCATTTATGTTTTTGTCATTCATCTGCAGATCATGATAAAGGATCTTGACAGAGTTATATCAGCCTTTGTCTAATTCTGACATGGTTAAATTAAATATGAAGATAAAAGAATATAAATTCTTCAGGGAGTCTTTTTTCTAATTTTAAGGGTACATAGTTTAATTCCTCTTTTATTTATTTTTCTAATTATCATGACTTTAATTGGTTTATCTGATTTAACTTGTATCTGTGAATTGTATTTTTTGAGTCCAACTTTTATCCTCATTTTTTTCTTATCTATAAATCTGAAAACTCATCATTTTATTTTATTTTTGTGTTTCATTTTTCCATATTTAGTTCTGTATCTGTGTCTACTTGCTGGTATCCACAACTATATGCAATGAATCTATTGAAATTTATGGAAACACAAACTGGATATTCCACTTACCATCTTTAGAATTGCATTTTCCAGAAACTCTCACTGCTTAATTCTTTCTTTCAGAATCAAAGAGATCATTATTTTCCAAAACTTCATTTCTCCAGAAAGAGATAATTCTGTTCCTTCCATACCTTTTAGATCTGGGAATTTATCTTTAAGAAGTTGTTTATAAGCTGTGTATGAAACTAACTATTAATATACATTGCATTTGTCGGGTCCAATTTTTATGATTCTAAGAATACAGAAATATTGCCTGTGCAAATATGTATGAATATAAATTAGTGAGAGTGGGTGTATGAGAGTGTGTGTGTATATATATATGTGTGTATATATATATATATATATATATATATATATATATGTATGTATGTATGTATGTATGTATGTATCCTACCCATGCAAGTGTAACCAGATTCTCTTTATTCCTTTATTTGAGATGAGTCTACATTTTTCTAGCATTTTTTGGCATTTTATATTGGTCAACCATATCTTTTTGCATTCATATGAAAACTGTGCCTTTCCCTCATTCCTTATTTTCATCTGTATTCTTCCTAACATTTTTTTATATTCATTCCACAAAGGCATACACATAATTCCTACCTCAACTCATTCTTCTGGTTTCATTTTCACTCTGACCTACACACACTGGATTTGAAAGATTCCAGCATTAGCACATTATACACTCAAGAGACACAAGTAATTGATTTAAAAGCTGCCTACTCATATTGGCACCCTATTTAAATATGTATATTTTTTTCACGTCCCACTACTTCAATTTGATTTGTAGCTTTATGTACTCCCAAATTTCAATAATTATTCATGAAGAGGAAGCGAATTTTCATTCCTCCTATTTATCTATCTGATCAATTCAATCATGGTTATAAAGAAAAAGATTGGCATTCCTTTTAGGAAGGCCCTTAATAACAGACCCATAAATTAAGGATATCTTGATTAACATGAAAAAAGGTTTGAATAAAATAGTGCTTGAGTATTAAGGAGGATATATCTGGAAGAATTATGGTAAATAGATAAAGCAAAAAAAATCTATTGGCAGATGCAAGACTATTTTATGCATTTAAGCCAGATTGATCAATTGCTAAAGAATGGAAGATAAAAGGATGCCATTGTCTTCAGGTTGAGTGGTTCATGATTTGCTAATTGTAGTCCCACTTGATTCCAATTGTTTTGGCTTGTTTTTTCATTTGTTGTCAAACAATTGCAATTTTTTATTGTGGAAAGTTGCTTTTAGTTGGGACAATCCATTGAAAATCATTGAAAAATGATAAATCTGATAAAATCTTTTGATAATGAAATGTGAGTCTTGATATTTTAAACTTGTGAATTCTTCATTGAAAAAGAGATTAAAAGGTTGCTTTTTATTTCCTTTGCTAATATCATGATATGCTTAACCTCTGAACAAATAATACAAACATTTGACTATGCAAAAATCATTTATCATAACTGTCTTTTTATTGACATTTAATTTTATTTTTATAACTCTGATTAATTTTTAAATTCATTCAAATGATTTCACATAGAATCTAATTCATTTGTATTGGTTTTAAACACAAAAAGTTCTGCGGTACAACAGATTAAAATGTTTTCAATGTAAGCAAATTATTTTAAAGACAATATACTAATTAAGCAGCATACTTGAACTAATCTCTTATTAACAGGATTAACTGAGAGGAAATTAATGGCATTAGTTTTAAAACTCAAAGTGAATTTGGTATCAGCAGCATTAAGGAACATTTAAACATTATTATTCCAATTATTTTTTTATATTTTAATTTGTAAGATTTACATTTTTTTCAACATAAACTTTCCACAATTCTGTTGAGAAGACAAGATTTGTTAATCAAAATCTAAATTTGTCTTTAGCATAAATATATAAATCAAATTGTTTTTTAATCCTGTTAGAGATTATTTTCATTTTAAATTACAAGTAATTACATGAAAATCTTGTATATTTCTATAAGTATGATCTCAAGAAAGAGCTAATATTGTAAATATTTTTGTATCATAATTATGAGTTTAAAATAAGTTGTTATTCTCTTCCCTTTAATATTATTTAACTGTGTTTTTCCTAATCTTTGTTTCAGAAGTGTTTACAGACAACAAAACTAATGACCAAGTGCCTTCTAATCATAAACGAACCGAGTCTAATGCAACCACGGTTTCAGAAAACAGCTTCCGGAGACAATTCTTACACAGAAATAAGAAAGTTGTTCTGAGAAAAGACAGTCAAACTGAGTACCAGAGATTTTCTGCTAAATTTTTAGGTAAGTCAGTTATTTATTTACTTTGCTGAATTTCAATTTTATTTGATGTTTAACTTTAGAAATGGGTAATAAATATGTAGTAAGTATTTATCTGTGATATTATCAATAATATTTCTCAACAAATATATAGAAAAATTAATTCCTTTCAATGGTTATAAATTCAAGCTTGATTATTACCTCACTTTTGACCCAGGCATACCACTGAGTCCTCTTCTTGGTCCAACTCTCTTTCTACTGTATATTAATAATATGCTTAAGAGCATACTCTGACTATTAGTTAATTTTTGTGTGAATGATGTAACTGTTTACAGGTATACTTCCAAAAATCTGGAAGACCAGAACCAATAGGTCATCTTTCCTCTGACCTCATGGTTCAATGGGGAGTAAACTAGTTTGTAAAATTCAATAGGGCCAAAATCAAACTAGTAACGTTCTACCACCATTGAGCAGACCCTGAACTTTCACCTATCATGATGGATGGGTGTTTTCTCAAGGAGGCTCCTGGTATTGAACATCTGTTGGGACTCAAGCTCTTCCCAATCATCAAGTGTAACTCATATATCCAATCTTTGCTAAAGATACTGAAAAAATGGTCAAGTCATTGTCCCGCTCCAGTAAGTATCTGACTCGCCCTGCTATACTCTATCTGTACAAGAGCCAGATCTGACCAAAATTGAATTTTGCTGTCATATCTGGGCTGAAGCTGACTAGTTCTTATTTGCCTGTGATAAAGATCCAAAAGTGGCCAAGAATTAATGCAAGTACTATTGACAAACAAAGCAGCACATTTTTTATAATTTATACTCTAATTGATTTACTACTTCTACATTTATTATGTCTATCATGTCTCTTTGTTATTCTTTTTATAAGGTATCAGTGATTAGTTTTCACTATTAAGTCATATTTTTGGGATGACTTAGCAGTTATCATTAACAAAACAAGAAATGTACATCACTTATTTATTTATGCATTAAAATGACTTTCAATCTGTTGTTAAATGGGGCAAGAAATGGCTTATAAATTTTAATGACATAAAATTAAATTTCTCTCTTTTAATTATGTAAGAGAACCTCTTTTGCTTTCCATCATCATGGCCAATGCTAACCTTCAGGAGAGTAACTCATTCTGCTTTCTCAGTCTAATGTTCTTCAATGATATGAAGTGGAAAGAAGTAAATTCCTATGTCTGCTGATAGGAAATTTAGTTTACTGTATTGTGAGAAAAAATTTTCTTGCCAAAATCTATGTGGCACCTTTATAAGTTGATCATTCATCCATGCATTGAATATTGCTCCTATATATGCAGTGTATCCAGAGATCCTTGATAAAATCTAAAGAATCTGCAATGTTATCAATCCTGACATGGCATCTCAGCTTCAGTTACTTCCCACCATCATAACATAATTTCTCTGTGCCTTTTCAAAAAATACTGTTATGGTAATTGTTCTGATGAACTTTCCACTTTTGTACCTTGACGTCACAAATTTAAACACAGTATGAGATTGGCAACTTAGTCCCATCATTTTACTGTTGAAATTGCTAGATGTAACTATAAATTTTATGCTAATAGTTTTGCACTTTTCACTTGTGAAACTCTCTTCTGGCTTTTTACTTTTCTTTCAGCTACAATCTTCAAAAATTTAGAGGCAATGTCAAGCATCATCTTCTATATCATTGAATCCTGGTTTTTAATGCCCTCTCTCTCCCGAACAATTTTCTCAGTTTCTTTCACTATCAGTAACCCCTTGCATCAAGGCTTTATTACCTTGCTTGGGGTAAAATGATTAAAAGAAATATGGATAGTTCCTGCATATGATCAGTCCTGGTTTTGATAAAGTTCTTTGATAAAACAATGGTCTTTATAATATTGTCTGAGCATAACATCAAATCAAAAGTTTAAATGATCTGATAAAATCAGCAAAAATTAAAATGTTAAAATATTTTGGAAAGGCTGAAATCTTGTTCGTTTAATTAATTTCTTTAACACATACTGTTTTCTTTTCTTGCTTAGAAACTTCATTGTAAATTCTTGTAAAGAATATATAGAGTGAATTGTTAAATATATTCTATTTTTAAGCATAGCAACAAGAATATTTTATCTTGAAATCCAGTGAGAAACTTTTCCTTGCTGGAAAACGTTGACCTGCAAACTTTATTTTAGAAAGCAAGAGCTGTCTAGTATTGATCAAAATGCATCAATATAAAAATTTAAAGTTTGTATATTTATTTGGTGACATTTTTCTGATTTATTTTTAACATTTTTTTTAATTTACTCTTGATGCAAACTGAATTGCATGAAACTTCATTAAACTTTGCTAAGAAACAAAATATCACTTTTCTTAATGTGTTTATTTTATTTTGCAAATATTTTAAAACCATTGTTATTTATTAATGAAGTTAGTTTTTATATGGTTTTTAATTAGTTTATAAATTAACTATGCTATTTTCTATTTTGCAATTGAATAAATTATCTGCTTACAGATTGGTAAATGTTGCTCATTGTACAGGCTAACTCTGGTATTGGTTGTCAAAAGAAGTTAAGTTACTTTATCTGCATATTCTATTTATTATATAAATAATAAATCCTGTTATGAATAAAGTATGTATATATTTATCTATTGATATAGAAAAAACATCTTTTTATTAATTCTGTTCATTAAGGAAAAGCTAAATGTTTTTAAAAAGGAAGAAAAAGTAGCTATTTACTTATTGTATCAATGGCTTCAAAAGAGCCTGAATACAATGTATTGAGTAGATTTATTGTAAAATGTAATCTTGTGAATATTAATGCTGTTTAATTTCACATTGCATAACCATTATATAGAAGCCAAAGTCATATGACTTTATAAGAAGATTCTTATATTTTAGCCATGTACCAATGTTTTCTACTATCAAACAGAAATCCAAGATCTTGAATTATTCTTGGACATTCCTAATGGAGACTCACATCTTGCTTTAAAACTGTACAAAACAGGAGCATCCATTTTAAGCTCATACACATATTCCAAGCCACATTCATGTAGATGCAGTATGACTTTGGTAGTTATTAAGAGGGTGATTAATGAGTATTATGAACATAAAACATTACTGTAGATTATTTATATATTATGTTTTAAAAATTTTAAACTTCTAGGCAATATAAACATACATTTATAAATTCACATAAATTGTCATGATACAAAACAAAAGGTCTGTATATTAATTCCTTGCATAAAACAGTAAAAATGAGAAAGTTTCTTTTAAAAACAAAAAAATTTTGCATATATAATCCCATTATTTTTGTATAAATAAAAATACATGATGTCATCATTGCTTAACTACTGACATTCAGAAATAGGTTATATTTTTCAAATTTCATATATTTACATAATCTCAATGCAAAATGTTTTCTCACTGATTTATACTAAATTTTTAATTGTTAGAATTTTATAAGTATAGAATGAGGTTTTACTTTAAAATAAAAATATTTTTAAAAATAATTTTAGAATTTTCTTTAGAATGTATGTGTTATATCACCCCTGAACAACAATGGGACATTTCTTTTCTGAGCAGACCAATGTACAATAGAAACATTTGAACATAAGATTTCATGAAAATTTAAGATTTGAGTAAATTCTCTTACTAAAATCATCAAATTTAACTTTCTTGATCAAATGTTCATGATTACTAAAGCAAGAATAACTAATGTTGCAATAGTTGGGTTTGCATCCTGTTATTAAAAATTTTATTTTGTTCAAAAACTTATACTTAAAATAAATTATTTTATTGTCATTCTTGTACATTTTTATATGAAGCAATAAATTGTTAAAGGAACTGCAAATAATCCTTAAAGAAAGTGAAAATTTGAAAATATTTTCATGAACAGAATTTATTAATATGACAAGTAATATTGAAAAACCATTTAAGATATCTGATGTTTGCTTCAAATTTAAAGCATCTCTTTGTTGGGACTAGTGAGTTATTTAACAATATCATGGACATAAAAAATATTCAGGCTTAAAAGATATAAAAAAATGTACTGCCTTGAAGTTAACAATTTCAGAGAAATCCATTTTTTTCCTTAGTTTTCGTTTGAAAGGAATTATAGGAAACTAAAAAGAAAATTAAAAAAAAATCTTTGTATAGAAATGACAAAACTGAGTTTCCATATCTAGAAATAAATCAGTGTAACAGAAAAGGAGCTAAATGCAAGAAAGAAGTAATAATTAATTTATTATACATATTTATTGTTATATATCATACTTTGTTGTCATCCTTCTCAAAAGGTCAATTAAATTTACATTAAGATGACAAATCTATTTTCATAAAACAATTTGTATTATTCATTTCAGCCAAACATTTGCCAATCCCAGTTCAAAATTATCCAAGAGTTGTGTGAGCATATTCTTCTCAAAACAATCAGTTAAATAACAAAACCTTTCTTCACAAATCACCAAAATAAAAATTTATACTAAATAACAATTCAGCAAAATAGCATTAGGATGGCTTTGTTTTCTCAAACACTTTATTTATCTCATTAAAGTAAAATGCAATCCTATCTTTGTTTGACAATGAAATTACTTTTCCATAGAGAATCTCTAACTACAACTGTCTTGCATTACTTACACAGATTTATGATTACAATATAAACTTTTCTTAAGCATGATAAAAAGAATGTATTATCAAATAATTGCTTATTGTTATAAAACTTATATATATATATATATATATATGCATCTTAATCCATAAATATATATATATATATATATATATATATATATATATATATATGCATCTTAATCCATATAAATATATATACATATATATATATATATATATATATATATATGTATCTTCATACATATATATATATATATATATATATATATATATATATATATATATATATATATATATATATATATATACATATATATATATATATATATACATAAATATATATACATATATATATATATATATATACATACACACACACCTATATATATATATATATATATA